CTGAGGAGAGAAAATTCTAAGTTTATTTCCTTTTTAAGAGGACAAAAGATAGTTCTGTCACTCTGTCAACAGAGAGCCCATTCCTATGTGAAAAACGCCAATCACTTGTTTTTAAAATTTTAAAAGTTTAATAGTAATAAAATGGTTATAAAAATAGGAATATAGTTAGAGTAATAAAAACTGGGACAAGATAGATTAGGACAATATGAGACAATAAAAACAAAGAGTTAAGGACAGTCTGGGTACCTCTTTCTGGGCAAAATGAGCCTGAAAAAAAAGGACACATGTTAACAGAGGATTAACCCTTAAAAGCAATAACCTGTTGCATATTCATACACCTCATACATGGTGCATAAATTCCATTCAAACACAGGATTCTGTCTGGGCAGTGTCAGCTTCTTCCTCTGAATCCTAACCTGAGTGAGGTGGGAAGAAGTTTGTTTATTCTGATAATGGAGCAATAAATTCTCTTTCTCTGAAAGACTGAGGTGTCCTGTGGCTGCTGTCTTGGTGTGAGCACCTCATTCCTCTCTTTAAAAAAACATCCCAAAAAAACATCCCAAAAAAAACATCCCAAAAAAAACCAGAATAGCTTCTGTTTTAACCACAAAAGTTCGATTTTAACGACAAAACCACATTTCCCCAGCATTGCTGTGTTTTTCTACTTTGTAATAATTTCTAATAGTTTTGTTTTGTATTTTCCCCAAATGGTTTATCCCAGATTTACCCCCTCCCTCTACCTGTGCAATCCCTCTCCTTTGCTGAAATATCCCCAAATCCCCCCCTGGCTCTGTCACTCACTCACATCCCCTCCATTGAGAATTTTCAGTCCAGGACATTGAGTGATCAGCCAGTGGTCAACCCCCCAAGTGTTTCTCCATAAATGTCCATTCCCCAGTATCCATCCCTTAAATTCATTTATTGGTTTGTCACCCCAGGATGGGCTCTGCAGAGCGAGCTGAGACCATTCCCAGCACCCCAGTGTTGCTGTGTTTTTATATTTCATAATACTTTGTAATAGTTTTGGTTTTCTATCCCATTGTGTGTCCCCTCCCCTCTACCTTTGCAATCCCTCTCCATTGCTGAAATATCCCCAAATCCCCCCTGGCTCTGTCAGTCACTCACATCCCCTCCATTGAGAATTTTCAGTCCAGGACATTGAGTGATCAGCCAGGGGTCAAACCCCCAAATATTACCCCATGCCCCAGTATCCATCCCTTAAAAAAACATCCCAAAAAAAATCCCAAAAAAAACCAGAATAGCTTCTGTTTTAACCACAAAAGTTCGATTTTAACGACAAAACCACATTTCCCCTCCTATTAAAATGTTACCACATAACATACAAACAGTAAATATCTGTGTAGAGCCATGTAATTTGCACTTTTCACACCTGTGATGGGAGCCTCCACCTCGATCATGGTTTTCTCGTGCCTCAGGATGGCGGCGCCATCGTTGATGATTTTCAGCGCCGCGTCCTCCTCCAGCCTCCCCTCCTTCACCAGGTGGCTCTTGAGGACGTCGAGCCTGGGTTTGCCATCCTCAAACACCTCCTTGAGCGTGAGCCGCTGCGTGGGAGGGAACGGCACGGCTGCAAAGGCAAGGCGAGGCTGTTGGAGTGTGTTGTTAAGTTTCTTGTGTTATTCCCCCAATTTATGTATTGTTCNGTTATTCCAGCTGATTTCTGCCACATTTCAGCTCCCCCAAAAGCTTTTCCTTACATTGCTGCACTTGCACTCAGCCCTGCCTCTGTGAATCCAGCTGGCTGCACTCACATCCCCTCCATTGGGAATTTTCAGTCCAGGACATTGAGTGATCAGCCAGGGATCAACCCCCCAAGTGTTTCTCCATAAATATCCATTCCCCAGTATCCATCCCTTAAATTCATTTATTGGTTTGTCACCCAGGATGGGCTCTGCAGGGCGAGCTGAGGCCCTGCCCAGCACCCTAGTGTTGTAATGTGCTTTTATATTTTATAATAATTTGTAATAGTTTTGTTCTTCTATCCCATTTTGTGTCCCCTCCCTTTACCTGTGCAATCCCTCTTTTGCTGGAATATCCCCAAATCCCACCCTGGCTCTGTCACTCACATCCCATCCCCTCCACTGAGAATTTTCAGTCCAGGACATTGAGTGATCAGCCAGTCCTAAATGTCCATTCCTTAGTATCCATCCCCTAAATTCATTTATTGGTTTGTCACCCAGGATGGGCTCTGCAGGGCCAGCTGAGACCTTGGGATTTGTGGCATTTTCCTAAGAGCTGTCCCTTCCTGTCCCATCCCATCCCAGCACTGAGCCTGCAGCAGCCACAATCCTTTGTATTCCCAATTTCTTGCCCATGGAATTCCTGTCACAGCCCAGGTGGATTCTGCTCCATCCCAAGGTTTTAGAAGGAAGCAGTGACTCAGGCTCGTGGCTCTTTCTCCTCCTGCTCCATCCTCAATTCTGCAGCTTTTCCAACATTTCCTGCTGGGATCCTGTTGGAACCCTGGATACTGAGAATTTTCAATTTTCAGCAAACAGACTCACAAGAGTCACTACATTAGTGACTCACAAGTCACTACATTTGACCTAAGAGACTTCCAAAATTAATTGATAACACAAGGATTATAGATGTGTAATTAGTTAGAAGTGTGTGATACCACAGAGTAGAAAACTTATATAGATGTGTAATTAGTTAGAAGCGTGTGGTATCACAGAGCAGAATACTTAAAGAGTTTTAGAATATACAAAATTTTAGAATTTTTTTTTTTAGAATTTAGAATGTTGAGTTTTAGAAATAAACAAAAAAGCAAGAGAGAAGTTTTAAGGCAGAGGCAGCTTGTTCTTCTTTACCTTTTTCTTCCCTCTTTTCCATGGGTTTGGGTGGTATTTTGTAATTAGGAAAGTCCACATTACAAGCTTTGACAGATCAGTTATTAAGTTAAAAAGGAAAACAATCTAAGTGTCATTTCTTAATTAGATAGTTTAGCCTTAAAAGAAGAGTTAGCCATTTTGTGCCTTCCTAATCAAAAGCTACAAAACTCAGAGTTGTAGGACTATATCAATGATAAAAAATAATAAACATTTAAGAGCAAACATGGGCTACAAACTCAAATTCCTTCAATCCCAAGCTCCAGAACCCACAGGATCTGCAGCAGCACCATCAAATGTCCCCTGCTGTCCCCAAGTGCCATTAAATCCAGCCCAGAAGGCAGAGGTCAGGCTTTAACCCCTTCACTGCCACTGGTGAGGATCCAAAGGTGGGGACATCGATTCCCTGCCCAAAATCCCACTGGGAATGGTCAGCATTGCCCTCACCCCAGGCAGAATTCACTGCAAGGGAAATCCAGCATGAGAGATCTGGGGTTGGTGTTTGGGCTGATCCTGAGCTGGATTTCAGCTCATTCTGGGCTGAATTTTACTGATTTGGAGCTGAATTTTACTGATTTGGAGCCATATTTTACTGATTCTGAGCTGTATTTAATTGACTCTGAGCTGTATTTAATGGATTCTGAGCTGCATTTTATTGAGCTATATTTGAACTTATTCTGAATTGAATTTTACTGATTTGGAGCTGTATTTTAGTGATTTGGAGCTGTATTTAACTGATTCTGAGCTGTATTTTATTTTGCTGCATTTGAACTGATTCTGAATTGAATTTTACTCATTTGGAGCTGTATTTTAGTGATTCTGAGCTGTATTTAATGGATTCTGAGCTGTATTTTATTGAGCTACATTTGAACTTATTTTGAATTGAATTTTACTCATTTGGAGCTGTATTTAATTGATTCTGAGCTGCATTTTATTGTGCTGCATTTGAACTGATTCCAAGCTGCATTTAATTGATTCTAAGCTGAATTTTACTGATTCTGAGCTGTATTTAATGGATTCTGAGCTGCATTTTATTGAGCTACATTTGAACTTATTCTGAATTGAATTTTACTCATTTGGAGCTGAATTTTACTGATTTGGAGTTGTATTTAACTGATTCTGAGCTGTATTTTATTGTGCTGCATTTGAACTGATTCCAAGCTGCATTTAATTGATTCTAAGCTGAATTTTACTGATTTTGAGCCATATTTTACTGATTGTGAGCTGCATTTTACTGATTCTAAACTGAATTTGAACTGGTTTTAACTGATTTTAACTGCATTTTACTGAGCTGCATTTTAGTGATTCTGAGCTGTATTTAACTGATTCTGAGTTGTATTTAACTGATTCTGAGCTGAATTTTACTGAGCTGCATTTGAACTGCTTCTTAGTTGAATTTTACTGATTCTGAGCTGTATTTTTGCTGCATTTGAACTGATTTTGAGCTGGTTTTAACTGATTTTAGCTGCAGTTGACTGAGGAGCATTTTACTGATTCTGAGCTGCATTTTACTGATTCTGAGCCAAATTTGAGCTGATTTTTGAGCTGGTTTTAACTGATTTTAGCTTCATTTGAGTGAGGAGCATTTTACTGATTCTGAGCTGCACTTGAACTGATTCTGAGCTGCATTTTACTGATTCTGAGCTGAATTTGAACTGGTTTTAACTGGCTTGAACTGATTCTGAACTGATTTTAACTGCATTTTACTGAGCTGTATTTTAGTGATTCTGAACTGAATTTGAACTGGTTTTACCTGGTTTTAGCTGATTTTAGCTGCATTTTACTGAGCTGCATTTTACTGACTCTGTGCTGCATTTTACTGATTCTGAGCTGAATTTGAACTGGTTTTAACTGATTCTAACTGCATTTTACTGAGCTGCATTTAATTGATTCTGAGCTGCATTTTAGTGATTCTGAGCCAAATTTGAGCTGATTTTGAGCTGGTTTTAAATGCCTGAGCTCTGTTTTTAACCCAAATTCACCCCTTTGTGTTCCCCCAGCCCCAGCTCCCCGCAGTGGTCACCTCTATACTGAAGTAGCCTCTGTCCACGTAGTCCCCCAGGAAGAGGTAGCGGGTGTTGTTGGGTGATCCTCCCACCTCAAAGAGCTTCATCAGGTCAAAGAACTGCCCATGGATGTCACCACACACTGGGGGAGCAAAAACAGCACAAAAGAGGGATTTATTTAGATATAACAATTACCACGCTAAGAAAAGCAAAGGTCACGGCAGCAGCGAGGAGCAGCAAAAATTTTCTCTTGTGAGAGCTCAGCAGAGTTAAAAAAAAACCTTCAGGTGGAAGGAACAGGGCAAAAAAAACCTGCTGGGGTTGTCCAGGGTGTTATTGAGGGATTGAGGGATGAGCTCCAGGGGAATATGGGGCTCCTCTCCAGGTCTCATAAGCTCTTCAAGATTTATTTCACATCCAAGGTAGCTTTATATCCAGAAGGTATAAAATGAGCAGGATGGCTTCTGGGGTAGTGTTGGAAAGAAAAAAGTTTTAATAAAAGGCAAAATAACAAAACTCTGTGTTTACAGAGAAAAACTGAGGTCCTTGCCCCTGGTAAAACACCTGACAAAAGTGATTAATTTCTTTGTTCTCTTCTTTTTCTAGTAAATTGCTCTGGGGGAACTTTTTCCACCTTAAGTTTGAGGTGAAGTCCCCCAGGTCCTGTGAGATGTCTTTTCACCTAACTGAGGAGAGAAAATTCTAAGTTTATTTCCTTTTTAAGAGGACAAAAGATAGTTCTGTCACTCTGTCAACAGAGAGCCCATTCCTATGTGAAAAA